CTTTCAGTGTATACAATCTGATGAAATTCTTGATATATTATTAAACACAAACTTCAAGTTAATCAACGATGACAACACTATTTGTCACAGATGACAGGACCTTGTCATGCAATTTTGTAATCGGAACCGGATCCCCTCCTGAGCATGGGGACTGGAGTTTGCTGAGCAGCCATCTGGACCCTTAAAATTTGATCCAACGATTGTAATTATTATAACTTTTAAAGGGTCCCCCTATTTGTAGCTGTTGAATCAAATTTCAAGGGCCCAAATGAGCTACTCAGCATGCTCAGGAGGAGATCTGGTTCCTTTGTAATCACCAAGTCGTAAATTCTCTTTTTTTTTTTTTTAAAAAAAAAAAGTCGTTCGCTTTCATTTTTTTTTTTTTTTTTTGTTAAAAATTGGAACCATTTATTTGTTCATACGCATAGGCAGGGCCAAGCGGCCGTAGGTCTACTGTCTCTATTTTTAGTGTCTCATTTGTCTTGGTGAGGTTTTTTAATGGGCTGCAATGCAGGAGGGTACATCAATGTTATTATACAAGTGGAGGGAAGGTTTTTTTCTTTTCCCTTTTTTTTTATTTTTTTTTTTTTTATTTTTTTGTTAGGTGTCCCTTCACTTGTATAATGATATATGACATATGTGCTCATGATCTGGATACACTAAAAATCACTTCATGTCACAACTCTAATTACTTGATATGTGTACATCCACTTAACCAAATATTTAACATTGCTAACTTTAATATATAAAGAATATAATAAAAAACATCAAATTAATATAACAAAACAACCACCACCACCACTTGTGACCTCTTCATCTTTCTCATATACCATAATCTCCTTCCTTAGCCACAGTTCATCACATCAGCCACAACAATCACCCCACCTCGCCATAACCATGGCCTCTTTTTCTCCTACACCAGATTAAGTATCATGGTCTTCAAGGTATCATTATCGAATTGTCTCCGATGCAAATAGTTGACAATTGGAATCCAATTGAATAATAAATGTTCTTTTATCATTAACAATGTTCCAGATATACTGAAATTTTTTTCACGTCTCATCTCTAATTACTTGATAAGTGTCCACCCATTTAACGAAATGATTAACACTGTTACCTTTAATATATAAAGAATATAATAAAAACAACAAATTAATATAGCAAAACAATCACCACTCCTCGTGACCTTTTTCATCCCTCCCATATACCATAACCCCTTCCTTAGCCACTATTCATCACATCGGCCACAACAACCACTCCACCTCGCCATCACCAAACGTCTTACTCTCCTACATCAGATTAGGTATCATGGTCGTCATTGGCGGGAATACACACTGATTTTTTCTATTTGGTAATTAACGATCAAGGAATCAAATTAAACCGGAGTAAGAGAATCTAGTCAAACTGAATCAGAGTTGACAAATCGAATCTATCGTACTAAATCGGCTTCGGCGAATAGAATTGTTTCCGATGCAAAAAGTCAAAAATTGGAATCCAATTGAATAATAAATGTTCTTTTATCGTTAATAGTGTTCCAAGCACATTGAAAAATTCTTCATGTTTGCTGTTTAATAACTTGATAAGTGTCCACCCATTAACGAAATAGTTAACACCATTACCTTTAATGTATAAAGAATATAATAAAAACAACAAAATAATACAGCAAACAACAACCACCACTCATGACCTTCTTCATCCCTCACATATACCATAACGTCCTTCCTTAGCCACAATTCACCACATCAGCCACAACAACCACCCCACAATGCCCCATCACCAAGCCTCTTTTTCTCCTACACTAGATTAGGTATAAATATAATGGTCTTCATTGGCGGGACCACACACTGATTTCTTCTATTTTAGTAATTAACGGTCAATGAATTAAATTGGACCATAGTAGAAGAATCTAGTTGAAATGAATTAGACTCGACAAATCGAATCGATTATACTAAATCGAAGTCGACAAATGAATTGTCTCCAATGCAAATATTCAACGCTTGGAATCCAATTGAATAATAATGGTTCCTTCCAGTTGATAATATTATGCTCACACTGAAAAATTTCTTCATGTCTCATCTCAAACTACATGATACGTGTCTACCTACTTAATCAAATAATTAACACCTGTTAACTTTAATTTATAAAAAGTATAATAAAAAACAACAAATTAAAACGGTAAAACAACTACCACTGCTCGTGACCTTCATCCTTTCCATATACCATAACCTCCTTAGCCACAATTCACGACATCAGCCTCAACAACCACCCCACCTCGCCATCGCCAAGCCTCTTTTTTCTCCTCCAACAGATTAGGTATCATGGTCGTAGTTGGCCGGAATACACACTGATTTCTTTCATTTTAGTAATTAACGGTATTGAACCGTAGTAAAAGAATCTAATCGAACTGAATCAGAGTCGACAAATTGAATTGATCGTACTAAATCGAAGTCGGTGAATCGAATTGTCTTCGATGTAAATAGTCGACGATTGGAATCCAATTGAATATAAATGTTCCTTTTCTGTTGACGAAGTTGGAGAGATAGAGGAGAGAGTGGAGACTTGTCGACAGCAGCGGCAGCGACGAGAAAAGTAGTGGTTGTTGTGGTTGATTTAATGGTGGAGAGCTTTGGAGCTTTGGAGTTTGTTTATTTGTTTTTTTAACACAAAATAATAAAATTTAACAATATTAAGTATTGATTAAGTTGAAGGCCATGTGTCAAAATAATATTATGGAAGACATAAAGAAAACAATTTGTTGGGGGCAGCAAATCCGTGGCCTTAGTAATTTGAGTTTTTCCCTAGTTGATGTGCCATATGGTACCGTTTGGTACGTGGGACGGGACGAAACAGAGTGGGACAAGGCGTTCCGTCTCATGTTTGGTGCGCCTAAAACGGGCGGAATGAGCTGTTCCACGAGATGAGTTTTGGGTGAATTTTCGTTCCACCTCACCCTCCTGGAACGACTCATTCCACATCCGTGGAACACAAAATTATAAGCTCTCTGTTTCCTTCTTCCTCCTTGTTTCCATCCAAGGGCATCTTTGATCCCGCTCTGTTCCGTTCTGTCCCGTCCCGTCCCATTCCATTCCGTTCCGTCCTGTTCCGTCTGCATACCAAACGATACCTATACGAACAAACATTAGAATGTTTGAATCTATTTAAATAATGCAGCGTAATAAACAGAAAAAAAAAAAAAACCAATTATTATATCTTGAGTCATATGAAGAGAGAGACATCTCCATATATGAGAAGAATAATGATCAAATCACGTCATAGATATTGATAAATTTTATCTAAATCATACGTATGCATCGACTACTAATGACGATACACTTGTGTTCAAAATATTTTAGGTGGAAAGAGAAGAATTATTATTGTTTTGGACCTTTGGGTGATGGGAATTATTATTTTAGGTCTATAGGGATATCTTCGGAGCTACGAAATGATAGCTAAGCCGGTCCTAAAATTTTCATGGCTAATGGTGAAAATTTAAATTAGAGTCTTTTTCGATAATTATTGTTTTTTGAATGAAAAGGTATGTATTTCTGTTTCACAATTTTGGCTTTAAAGATAGTAGGTTAAAAAAAAAAAAAAAAAAAAAAAAGATGCATATTTTACTTTTAGGATTTACATGAAATATTTTTTATTGATTAATTTAAAAGTAAACTCATTTTTTGAAAATGAAAAAAAAAAATTAATAAAAACCAAGTCTTTATCCGACTTTACATTGAAAATAACAATAGGAAAGTAAAAAAAAATTTAATGACTGTCCTGTAGCCTTTCTGGACGGAAAATTGGACGGAATGTGAATGAATATATATGATGGTAGGGTTTTTCAGAATTTTGGCACTTCATATATAATAGTTTGGAAAGAAAATTGGCTAAGAGTTTAAAGAGCATATTGGGAGTAAGATACCAGTTCAGGAGAAAAATGGCGAAATTAATTATAACGGCTTGATCATGTCAAACGACCCTTTAATTTGGTCACTCCATTGCTGCTCTCTCTCCCTCCGCAGTAAGATTCGAAACCCTTTGAAATCGGTAGCCATAGACGTCCGGCTGCAATCATTGCAACCGTCGAAGGAGAAGAGAGGAAGGAACTGTTCAACTACCCCTAACCCCAACCATTATACAGTGAATCCTCAATTGAATTCCCCTAATATATGAGAAATTTTTCATTGTGACTAGAATACCGGTAGTACATTACATGCTTTTATATAAATGGTAAAATTTTTATTTTTTAAGCTATTAACTTTTTAACATATATATTCTATTATTTGTATAATAACACATGATGTACCATCTCGTTTTCCGATCACATTGAAAAATCTCTCGTAATATATTTTTCCTATTCCTATACCTAAACTGCGTAGGTATCATTGTCCCATTAACTACTCTGAATCACTCCCTAAAATGTAATAAGTATACATTACCTAACTGAACTTATCTGCCTAATAGCATTGTCACACATGGCAGCACAGCTGCACAGGTATGACTGCCTTTAAATCCCCTAATCCATTGTCGTTGCAAATGCTACATTAAACAGAAAAATTGCTTAACTTCCCTTTAAGCCCCCTAATCCATTCCCCTTGCAAATCCTACATCAGGCAGCTCCACACAAAAGTACAGATCTAAAATTGTTTTTAGATTTGCTATTCCTTGTCAATTCTGAAATTGTTTTAAACTGATGTTGACATTTTATTGACAATGATGGAACAGAAATAATGGAAAAGTATTTCTGTAATTAACTTTAATTATAGTGATTAGATGTGTCGCGCGCGCGCACACAAACACGCGCATGTACATATTGGTTGTGCACTACTGACGTCCACCTTAATCAGCTAGATAATGCCAAGAGGATATACTAAAGTGTTAGCAACCAATGACATTTGTTTCTGTCTTTTCATCACCTAATCATTTGTCTTGTTGTCACAGTTGCACCAATAAATTACTGTGATCAAGAAATAACAACATAAAAAACTGGCCTTCTCAACAATTAATATTCTCTCAGTAAAAATACTGGTAGCCGAAAAACCCTAAAGCAAGATATGGGTTCTGAAGTTGAGCAAAAGCTTCCTGTCCTAGATTTCTCCAAGGAGGCTCTGAAGCCAGGGACCAACTCATGGCTCTTGGCATGCAAAGATGTTCGACGAGCACTTGAAGAGTTTGGGTGTTTTGTAGTGTTGTATGACAAAATCTCCGATGAATTTCGCAATGCTCTCGTTGGTTCCCTTGAAGAACTATTTAATCTTCCTACCGAGACCAAAATGACAAACAAATATGAAAAGCCCTTAAATGGCTATGTGGGACAAATTCCCAAACTCCCTCTCCATGAAAGCATGGGCATCGACTGTGCAACCAATTTTGAGGAGACTCAAAAATTCACAAAGCTTATGTGGCCTGCTGGAAATGATAAATTTTGGTAATTATTTTTCTAATTTTCACTTTTCTGAGATTACCTTTCTTATCCTTCTACATTATAAATTGTGGGAAAAAGAATTTCCTCATACCATTTTTCCCCGCACAACCATGGTTTTGCAGAAATCATTTTCCAACAAAGGTGTGCAGAAATCATTTCCCTGAATTGTTTACAATGGTCCTAACCTTCTTTTTTTTTTTTTTTTTGGTGGTTATAATGAAGTGAAAGAGCATATGCGTTTGCAAATGTGGCGGAGGAGTTGGATCAAATGGTGGCTAGAATGATATTTGAGAGCTATGGTGTGGAGAAGTATTATGACTCATATGTTGGATCGATCTCTTACCTTCTTCGGATCTTGCAAAATAGATCACCCAAAGAAAATGAGCACAATCTTGGCTTCGTCGCTCATACTGACAAGAGCTTCACAACCGTACTTTATCAGAATAATCAGGTCAATGCTCTGGAGGTTGAAACAAGGAACCACGAATGGATTAAAGTAGAGTTTCCACCTTCATCCTTCATAGTCATGGCGGGTGATGCCCTAATGGTAGGTCACTAATTATACTGACAAAATAACACATCAAATATCAAGCACCCTAATCTTAACGGATTCTCAATTTCTGGAATTAAGAGATTTTAATGTATTATCGTTTATATGTTATTAAGGTTATTCTTAATTCTTAATTGAGGAAGATATATAAATTTACATTTATGGTTTTGTCGTTGATTAGGCATGGAGCAATGACAGGATATTATCTCCTAATCATCGAGTTATTATGAGTGGGAATGAAACAAGATACTCGTTGGCACAGTTTGCATTTAGCAATGGCGAGATACATGTACCCGAAGAGCTTGGCAATGAAGAACGGCCATTACGCTACAAGTCGTTTGATCATCCTGGACTACTACGTTTCTTTCGCTCTCAAGATGGTTATATTTCAAACAGTGCTATAAAAGCCTACTGTGGTATTTGAACTAAACCTTGCAGCTATGAAGTATATTGCTAGCTGTGGGTATATTGTTATTGTGTGCTCATTTCAAGTGTTGGTTTGCTGGATTGTCTAATAGTACTATTGTAATTGTATTTTTTTTTCTTTTTGGTTGTGCGTGGCTCTATTTCTTATTTGTTTTTTTTTCGTACGGATATGAAAATTAATAAATTTGTATTTCCTAAGAGCAAGCTAATTATATGTGTGCAAAAAGCATTTTTCTTAACTGTCATCAATGTGATACATTTGCGCCATTGCCAAACATTGAGAAAAGAATACTATTACACCAAGAGACGGACATTTATTTATTTTCCTAGTTAAATCATACCAAGAGCTAGTTGGTCATTACTAGTGATTCCAAATTGTGAACTAAATAAAGAGAGGAGGATATATATACTAATTACTAAGGACAAGAACAAGAGTCCTTATGAAACAATATGATGACCAGAACAAACTGGAAGATTGAAACAAAGTCCATCAAATGTGGGGTAGAACTAGATTTTGAGAATAGCATATTTCGTATCTAGGATTCTGGAAGATTGAAACAAAGTCTATCAAATGTGGGGTAGAAGTAGATTGTGAGAAAAGAATATTTCGTATCTAGGAACGATTTTGAAAGGACTGACCTTGAAATTAGGAGCATAATCTAAGCATGGCTCATAACAAGCCATCACAATGAACTAGTTATTCAAGTGACAAGAAGGGCCTTATTATTCCCTAAATCCTTTATGTTTTCAACAATTGTGTAATGAATGATGCATAGGTTTAGTTTAGGGAAAAGATATAGGAAAACCCTAATCTTGAGCTTTCACTATAAAAAAGCACCCTTTCGAGATGAAAAGGTTTTGTCGGGCAAAATAAGGCTTTCATCATCTAAATCTTTGCTCGACAAAAAATTCATTTGGAAAATTTTGGTTAGTAAAAATCGTTGCACAAATGTTTGCTCAACGTATTTTCAAATTTTGCAGGGCAATAACATTTATCCAAAGAAACGAGCAAAATGCGTCGACCAACTTAGGCCGACAACCAAAACTTGCCTGACGATAGTATTTCATCAAGTAAGTAATTGAAAGAAAATACATATATAAAAAGTACAAAATACATGCTCGACGAAAGTATACGTCGGCCAAGCATTTAAATTTTTTTAAAATTCATAGTTTAATTTAAATGTACTTTAAATAAATAAATTAGTTTTAATTATACTAATTTCAAAAGGAATCATAATATTAAAAAAAATTTATTTAGTTATATTACTACTAAAATATTGGTACAAATGTATATGTAAAGTAGTAAAGTATCCTAAAGTAACTACTCTTAGGGTGGTGGTTGAAGGTCGTTTGGAAGATCAGGGAGATGAATGCCAGAGGCTACATTCCCTGCGTCATCACAGCAATGTACCACATAAACTCCTCCTCCCGCTCATGTGCATCTTTTTCCCGAGCTTGTCTCATTGGCATGCTTATTCTCCTCGTTGGCGCATGGCCTCTAACTCCATCTCCACATGTTGTAGTCTGGAAGACGTCCTACTTGGAGGTTGAGAGCTAGATGAAGAAAATCATCTGAGATCTTGGACCTGACCTGCTCTTAGGGCCACGAAGCTCTTCGCCTTTCCGTCACCCAACCTTGTCCATTGGCAATTGTAGAAACACATCTGGATCTGGTGTTAGTTACACCATTGGTGTATTCAGTTGTTGCTGGAAGAGGTTGGTGAGATACTCGTCCTTCTTTTGCAACATACATGCCTACAAAAATAGGAAATCAATTAAAATTATCGATCATAATTTTTTAAAATCGATAATTTTTTAAAACTGAATTGTAATGAATTTGAAATTAAAATTTGAATGGAATACTTACATAAATGTTGTCAACTACCTGGTTGCCATAATTGGCATGCGTATCACCCCAACGTCGACTTCCGTAAAAAACGAACCCTTCTCACGCCGTTCCTTGACCTAAAATGTGAGGGCCTGAGAACCAAAGTGATGGAGATACTACTTTGCTTCCCGATTACCCTTATTTACCTTCGATTTTTGTTGAGAATAAAAGAATTAAATTAAAAAACTGAAAATAGAAATGAAATTTAAAACTTACCAAAAATTGTAGGCTCTGAAATGGCTGTAGAGCTAGTACCACTCGTCTTTCATTTCCCCAAACTCTAGAAGTGGATCGGTGAGAACTTCAGCAAGAAATGCACAAGTCTGGTAGTATATGAGTAGCTCGTACTTCCACTCCTTGTACTGCTCAGACGACACCCGGTTTGTGTACTCAGACATACCCGACACTTCTATGTCAATCTCGAAGTTGACCTAAAATAGACAAAAGAAACAAGTGTATTAGTTTAAGGATACACTAAATAAGTTTAAGTATAAAAATAATAATTATAACAAAAAAAAAAAAAAAAAAAAACACACTTACCCATGTCTCTTTCTTCATTGCCCCCTGCACCTTAAGGGCGAGCTTCCTCCATGTAGGGGGAGCATGGGGCACTTGATGCGAATGATGGCTCCCATGTCATGAGCTTGTTGTGAGTATCGCGTTTAAGAAAGGAAAAAACAAAATAATCTCGGAAATTTGAAAAAAAAAAAAACCAAGATAAATCACACCAAGAATTAACATGGTTCACCTATAAGTGCCTACGTCTATGGGACATCAACAACAATCTTTCACTATATCAACAATGAGTATAGTGAATAATCTTGCCAAGTCTCTATAATTAAGACTTGACAAAAAACCTGAAAGAACAAGAACAAGAATACACTCTTATCTCTTTTGTTTTCTCCCACACAATTTGCCTTACAATTTTCTCTCACACTAATCCCTTGAGTGCTATACAAAATATTTTTTTGCTCCAAATTCAAAACTAGTGCAATAACCCCTTTATATGGACATAATAAAGGTGTTCTTTAATAAGGATTACTAATCCTAATTGGAATCTAGTTATGAATCCTTGTCCAATTGAGAAAACAATTTAAATTCAGTACACAAACTTCAATTGGGTAAACAACTTCAATTGGGAAAACCACTCCAATTGGGTAATAACCACTAAATCTTCTAACAGAGCCAGCATATTATTGACTTTGAGGTCCGCTCGCCGATGTCATGGGTCATAAATGATCACGATCTTGGCTTGCATTATGTGGTGGTTCGGTTTGAGGACAAGCCTTTATAGATTCCTGTGCTTTTACCTTCTTCTCACCTCCGACTAGGAGTTCTTCGTTTCCCTTAGGGGGCATTGCCGCCGAATTGGCATCGTCTCCGCAATGTCATAAGTGGGTGTTAGGGCTGGCATAGAGCAGGGCCGTTTCTGGCTATGAATACGGCAGACAGATCGGGGCTCCCAGACTGATGAAGCTAATGAAGTAGACCCGTCACCAACTCAGTTATGGTCGCCTGGGTACTGCTGGTCCCTGCCAGTGGAATATCCACCCTCTCTAATAAGAGTTAAAGCGGCGTCCATTGGTGACCAACTGCAATGTCATCTATAGAACATAATCACAATAAAGAAGTACTAACTTACAAAAAATTAACTTAATTCTAATAAATCATAGTGATTTCTAAATATTTTATTGAATGACATTATTTCAAAAAATTTACAAAACATTTCTAATATTCCCTATTACTTTACAAATTTCTAATACTGCCTACAAAGTACAATTAAATATCCTATAAATTTCTAGTTTTCCTTCAAATTTTCAAATATTTCCTACAAATTTCTAGTATTTCCTTCAAAGTTCTAATATTTCCTACAAATTTAAAAATTTTAAATATTTCCTACCAATTTCCTTCAAATTTCTAATATTTCCTATACAAATTTAAAATTTTCTACATTTCCTATATAATTTTCTAATATTTCCTACAAAATTACAAGTTTCCAACATTTCCTACAATTTTCACAATTTCATGAGTTTCACTATTTCACAAATTCACAATTTTCCTACCAATACATCAAAACCAAAGATTTTGCACATGCAACTAATATAAAACAAAGAGATGAGCAAACGTACCTTTGGGGCAGAGAGAGAGATAGCACATAGAGGGCAGAGGGAGAGCATAGAGAGAGAAAGAATATCGATATATCAGCAAAGGCACAAGGAAAAAGAAGGCTCTCGGCCTGATATAAAATATCACCAAAAGTTGCAAAAGTTTTAAAATTGTGAAACATGTATTTTGACATAATTGATTTGTTGGGCAAAAGTTGCATAGAAATGTCCACCTGGTTTAATTTTGTGCGAAAATAAATGGTGGGAAAATAACTCTGCTCGACAAATTTTATGATATTTCGTCGGGCAAATACTCTAGCATAGGGGAAAATATGATATTTTGGGAAAAAATGGGGGAAATTTGAAAGTTTACCCGACGAATGTAGTATTCTTGTCCGATGAACTTTGGTAATTTCATCGGGCAAACACCAAATATTTTCCCCTTTTTTTTATCCTAAGTGATTAAAAGATTATCCAATTTGATCAGGTCAATTCAGTGAGTGGTTTTACTCTCAAGTAGCATCCTTGCAAAAATCATTAAAATCAGAGCTAAAATAACCATTAAATCAAGATGAGACGTTTCTAATCGTCTAAGAATTTCGTCCCATTACCTAATGTTTTATGATTTTTGGCTATGCAATCTCATACTATATTAAAGAAAGTGTGATGATTGGATCATTGAAATTAGTTTCATAGATTGTATATCCTGTCTAAACAATAGATTCAACAAAAACTTAGAGTTTATTTTATAATTCTATTAAGTAGAGCGTAAGATTTGTCATAACCACTAATGTAAATATTTTAAATTGATGATTGGGTTTGTTCATCGTATTTTTCTAGGGTCAAGGAATGTAGTTGCAAAATAACTGTTAAATGGGATGATTCATTTCTAACCATCAAAGAATTTTGTCCCATTATCTAATCCATGAAAGTTTATTTTAGGTGATTTTTGGTGCATGTGATCACGTATTATATTAAAAAAATGTGTGACGGTTGGAGGGTTGAAATTAGTTTCGTAGATTGCGTATCCTGTCAAAACAATAGATTCAACAAACACTTAAGAGTTTATTTTATACTTCTATTTAGTAGAATGTAAGATTTTGTGGTAACCAAAAGTGTAAATACTTTAAATTGATGATCAGTTCATTCATTGTATTCTTCTAGGGTCTAGGAGTGTAGTTGCAAAAAATCATAAAAAACGAAGCTAAAATAACCATTAAATCGTGATCATATGTTTCTAACTGTCGAAGGATTTAGTCTCATTACCTAATCCCGGAAACTTGCATTTGGGTTTTTAGCATATGCCATCTTGGAGTATATGCCAATTAGATTGACAGTTAGGTTGAAATTAATTTTGCAGACTGTAAAAATTATCGAAGGAATTGAATATGCGAAAATGTTCCTCATTTTTGCCAGATGACATATTTTAGTTTGCC